GTTCGGCAGAGTAATAGTTAGATAAAGCAATCATCCTACCAATCTTCTGTATTTTTCGAGATCTCTGAGTAGTTCACCTTTGTCAAAAAGCTTGGCTTCCTCCATTGAAAAATCAATTGGTCAAGCACCCAAGAACCCATAATCCTTGCGTATTTCAAGTGCATACTTTCTTTGTGAAACATAAATGTCTTTCTTAGATCAGGAGACTTCAATACCCAAAAAATATTCAAATCACCTAAGTCATTTGTACGGAAATGAGTGTGTAAGAAACTTTTGAGAGAATTAATTGCATCAATATCGTTTCCTGTAATTAGAATATTTTAACATAAATTAACAATGCTATAAAAGACTTGCCATCTTTGCAGGTGAAGAGAGAATAATCGGCTTTTGACTGAATAAAACCAACAACAAGAATGACTTCAATAAACTTGGCAAACCATTGTTGAGAGGCATGTTTGAGTCCCTAAAGAGATTTGTGAAGGCAACACACTAGATTCTCCCCCTGTCGCCGAAGACCAAGAGGAGGAGACATATAAATTTCCTCATGTAAATCACCATGGAGAAAAGCATTATGGACATCGAGTTGATGGATAACCCAATGCTGACTAGAGGCGACAACTAAGAGACAACGGACTGTGATTATCTTAGTAGTGGGAGAAAAAGTTTCGTGATAATCAAGGCCCTCTGTGGGAGTGAATCCTTTGGCAACAAGGCAAGCTTTAGCGTTCGATAGAACCATTAGCACAATGTTTGATCTTGTACACCCACTTGTAGTCAATGGGAAATTTGTCAGGGGACAAAGCAGTAAGTGTCCAAGTGTGATTAGCAGCAAGAGCAGCAAGTTCGGAGTCCATAGCCTCACACTAGCGAGGATCACTATTAGCTTCTGTAAAAGAAGAAGGCTTCACACTTCGACTAATGGAGTTAACAAAAGAAAGATGCTTGTGTGAGTTTTGATGGTAAGAGAGAACATTACAGATGTGAAAACGAGTATCTAGTGGTGGACTGGTCAGTGAAGAGTAGGAATCGTGTGGGGGTAGAATCATCTATAAGTAAACGAAGTCCTTGAAGCATGTGGAGGGTTGCTTGATACAGGATGAGGTACAGGTCGGCTAAGGTTGTTTATGTGACAGCTGGGCTAGGGCTAAGTCGTTGTGGGGTGGGGCCTGGGTGCGGTCAGGAGAAGGTGGGTCCATGGGAATAGGGATGTCAAGAGGCAAGGCGGTGTTGGGGCTTGTGTCGGATGGAGGACAGAGAAAGAAAAAGGGTCAGTGTTGGGGGCGAAGGGAATGGGTTGGGGAAGTCTGGGCTGATGGAGGGCAATAAATATAGTGGGTCCAGTGTTATGTGTAGGTGTGGGTGTATCATGAGTGGAGAAGTAGATGAGTCTATCAGCCACATCGGGTTCCAGGGAAGTCAAAAGCCACGACATCTATGAATCCAATTTTATTTTTGGTATTAAGAGAGATGCCCATCGATCGAGACCAAGTATTGTAGTTGTCACCATTAAGTTTCTTTGAACAAAGAACCAATCTGGGGTGGTCTGAATGGTTGAGAAAAAGAGGGTCAGCAGCTTCACTGCCGCCCTTTGTAGAGGAACTATTGTCACCCATATGTGAGAGACGAGAGAAAGAAAAAAAGGAGCTAGGTTTTTGAAGCCAACTCTGATACCATGTAGAAAAAGATATTTGGCTTGAATGATATTTTATTAATAACATAGGAATATATACTCGAGTATTCCTTGTACAATAAGAAATCCTACTATCTAGGAATACCGTTTAAGGTCAGGATTGGATATGAATCAATTACAGATTTCTTTCCTATCTAAAATATATTTACTTTCTAACACAATAGGATCTTCCCCAACTCAACCAGTCCCTCCCCTCCCCAAACACGCCCATCCTGTTTTTCTTTTTCTTTTTTCTAGTGCTATGTTTTAGTGGGATTTTCAGAGACAAATGGAGCCTTGTAATGTATTTAAAAACAAAACCTTATCATGGCAAGAAGACAAGGAGGAGACAATGGCTAAAGACTTTAGCAAAAGGTGGAGTTTAATATTGATGGGTGAGTTGGAAAGGAGGAGAGAAGATGAGCAAAAGAAAAGGGGACATCAGCCCATGGAATGGGGAATTCAACATTTTTTTAGAGAATTGAGGAGATATTGGAGCTAAAGAGTTGGATAAGGAAGACAAGGTGCAGCCAAGCAAGAAGTGGAAGAAGATTTCCACCATTGAAGACCTTGAGCTTCCATCACTTTCACAAAATCTGTAAATTCTTTCTAGTTATATTTTGAATTTGTGTTTGAAATAAGTATAAGGAACTAAACTCCATAGCGTGGGCTTAGGTTGAAGCCCTAAACATGAATACTCTATTGTTTTGATGCTTGAGTTTATGAATTTCTAGATGTTGTGGATGAATTCCCATTCACTAAAATAATCTATCCTTGATGTATTTTTTCTTTGATTGATCACCTTTGAAAGCATGCTTCTTGAGATTGTTGGGATTATATGTACCCTCATGTTTTCCTAAGCAACAAATTGATGAAGTAAGAATCATCCATGTGAATTGGTTTCTTGAATGCCTAATGTAAACATCATACTATTAGGGTTCTTGTGATGTTCATATTCTCTTTAAACTTAATGAATTTTTCATGTAATTAAATCGAAGTACTAAGCATACCTAGATTGATTATAGAAAATGCACGAGTCTTGTAGCACTAGCTCCGCACTGTACTTATATTAGAGAGAATCCATGTGTCTTGAGCCACTAGATCAGGTCTTGATTGCGAACATCTTCATCAACACATTTAGAATTCATTACTTGAGTGTCCATAAACATGGGTAGGATTGTTTAGGGTGGATTCCAAAAACCCTAGTGTTTGTCACATTTTAAGTCAAAATTAGAGTTTGGTTACATTTAAGCATTAGAATTAGGTCACTTGAATCAAACCCCAAACCCCCCCAACCAAACCATTTAGTGTGTGTGTGTGTGTGTGTGTGTGTGTGTGTTTTTGAAACGTTGTGTATTTTCTCTAATGTATTCTGCTCACTTCCGTAATTGTTTTTGACATTTGGTCCTTGTTGAGTTCTTCCATTTCCTGTGCTGAATCCAACCATATAAAGAACGTGAAATTTGGATAAACGGTTGGAAAGTTATAGGTCAAATACTAGACAGAGATTGAAGCTGAAAACAGAGCACAGACTCTGCTTCAAAACAACTAGTCGTCACTGTTAACGCAACCGGTCACCTTTCATTTTGGTTTTCAGATCACAATCTGTTTCAAAACGATCGGTCGAGAACTATTCACCAGGCGATAAACAGGTGATAAATAGGTGATACAGTGGTGATAGAAAGGTGATAAATGGGTGATAGAAATTGCTGTTTGTGTTTATCTTTGCTTTCTTGTTTTGTTTCATTTCTTTTACTTCTCTTTATTCACTCTTAGCTCCCAATTTGCATTTTACATGTGTATTGTGTTAAATAAGTGTTCTTTATGTACTCAAACTAGAACTTTTAGTAAGTCAATTGTTCCTCGTGGGATCGACCCCGTACTTGCAAATCTATACCCCCAATAGATTCGTGCACTTGCAGGTATTTTTAATTGGATGGTTAGCACATTAATTTGTGTCAATTATTAATACAACAAGGTTTTCAAAAGTGAAGTAAAAAGAGAAGAATATTATCACGTTCATTTAACGGAATGGGTCACATTGGCTAACGATACCAAATTGGCCAAACTAAAAACACATGGATTAAATTGGCCACTATTTTAGCATTTAAGCCTAATTATAATTGTGGGACACAAATTCTACAAGTTATATGCAATGTCTCACCTATGATGCTCAAGTTAAACAAGAAAAACAAGAAACACGATTCTTGGGCTTAAGTCACCTTTACCTTTGATGACTGAAGGTCGTAGAATTTAAACTGTTATCAATGAATTTGACTACTCCAATCGATAATCAGCACATGTCGTGCAATGATTGGCACGTTTTAATTCCCATCGGGAATCTGTTGACTTTTGGTTTAACTGATGAAGAAGATGAGGATTTGCGGCGTGCATTGGCCTTTTCGATGGGAAGCATGAAGGAGATAAGTACTGGAAGTAAGCATGTCCTGGTTCTTTGAAGCATTAGTTACCAATTTTCAGAAGTTTAAATTGTAATTAGGCTCAGACAGAATCAACAACAACAATTCGTAGATTTGTAGTACTTTTGATAACATGAATGAGACAAGTAACTCGCTTTTTCTACAGTTGCTCTATAACATATCAATCTGCCCTCTCATCAGAAGGGGAGGAGAGCTAACTAATATAAAAAAACCCAATGACAACACAAAACTAAAAACTAATTTCCCTTTCTTACACTTTTGTCTGCCTGAGGTTTGCCCTATATACAGTCCAATCTTCTGGCTGTATACGGAAACTGCTTCTGATCAGCAGTGTCTATGTACAAAATAATGGGAAACTTTTTAATGATTAATCAACTTAAAGAGCAAGCCAGTGCATCTTCTTCCTCTTGATTCTGTGCTGAGGTAAGCCGTTCAACCAAAATGTCCAAGGCTTCCTTCATCCACCAATGCTGACAAGCTTCTCTAGCTTTCGCAGCACTCATCTGCATATCAAATAATTTCAGTTTATATATAATTTTACAACTCATTTTCAAGAGGGTATATGAAAATACTATTAGCCAAAACTTTAAACTAGAAAAAATAAAATAAAAAGTTCACAGCACGAGCAGCAGCATACCCAGATTCTTTGACGAACGTTCTTTTCGGGCCATAGATCCAGTTGCTCCTTCACTAACAAAGGGAACATGTACCCTTCATAGTATGTCTCCTGGCTTTTGCTCATGAAACTCCATTTTCCCAATTCACACTGCCATCATATACAACATCAAATTAGGTCAAAATTTTTGCCAGAAATGCAAATCTATTATTCTTATCATGACTGCAACAAACTCTATTATTTAGAGGCAATCAAAAGCGAAGAAAAACAGTACCAACCTCAACATTGCCCACAACACCCGCTTCTTCTAGTGATTCTCGTGAAGCAGCTTCTTCTACGGATTCATCAAGTTCCCAACCACCCTATCGAACAAAATACACAGTTGAATTTTTTAATTGGAAAGAAAGTAAATAAAAATGAAAGAAAATGAAGACTTGGAGTTGGAAGTAGCAATTATACCTTAGGGAACATAAATGCATTGCCTTTCTGTGAAGTGATCACAAGCACTTCCAATTCATCGCTGATCGCACCATCACTGCCATTTTTGTATCTATAAGGAATGCATCTGCAACATTAAACAAATAAATAAATTATACAGCCATTTTTTTATTACCATCACAGAGAAATATATATGTAGCTCGCTGATCAATACTGAATTGCACAAACAAGAAGAACATCAATAATTGTTTAATTATATGGGCAGACAAGGTAAAAAGTAAATCATTGTTGGAAAAAAAAACAAAAAACAAAAAAGAGAAAAGCTATAATCCAAATGGACTAAAATACACATGGGTTCCATTTGATAGGACCCACGAGCCCACCACCATTATGATGAGAATGAATTGGAGGAGGAGTCACAGCCACCAACTTTTTTCAACATAGCAAAAGCCTTGTCAAGAAAAGCTCAAAAAGAAAATAAAAAGAACCTCACCCTACGACTTGTCGGCGGCCCATGTTGTACCTCTGCAATTCCCTTCCCGTCCGAGCAACCAGACAAGCCATGTCAAAAAAGAAGGGTACAAAGAGGGGAGGATCAAGAAAAAAGGTTTGCTTTAAAAATATATGAATTATAGGGGTTTGTTTTTGTTCTGTTATTATCCGAATACCAAAAAAAACTTATGAGTTATGATGAATAAGTATTGCAGGTTTATACAGAAATGCAATGGTTGGAACTAATTGGGTTTATATATAAAGAGGCCTCTGTGTAACTTCACGTTTGGAGGCAGAAATAGAGAGAGGATGGGTTGGCAAAAACACCAACTGCCTATATATAGAAAATAAAGGCACTGATGGGTACCGTTTGGAAATAACGAAAGGAAGTTTGATGTTTCACCAAAAAAACAAAAACAAAAACAAAAATAAAATCAAAAACAATAAAAAAATAATAATAATAATAATAGAAGGACGAGTATTCTATATTGAGTAGGTCCTAAAAGAGTTGCGGTGATATGTATGGTGTGATGTTACGCATGTATATTCTATGAGAGCAGGCCAAGCCAAGCTAAGCTAGTGCCGTGAGTGCGTACGACATTCACGTCGCCTTCTGAGACGGATTTGTTAGAGAGTTTCTGTGTCGTTTCCCTAACAACCCTTGTTAGCCTTTGTTATTTGTTCAGTCCACGCGGCGAGAATTCACTGGGTTGGTTGGAAGTTGACTTTTAGAGAACATGCTCACGTGTAGGAATCATGGGCATGCTTTCTATTTTTTTACTCTCTTTTTTTTTCCGTTATATAATAAGATAATATGCCATTCCACCATTTAATGACGACGATGCTTACTTGAACATAGCTCATTACTTCAAAATATGTGTTCTTTTTTCTTTTGGGTGTGACAGCACGAGCCGCAAGGGAAACTTAACCGAGAGCTGCTTTATGCTTTTTTAGAGATTGGATAAGTATGTTTTATTTACTTTCCATTTGAATGAAGGGATTTGAAAAAAATGATCTAGATTAAACAATAATGTTACAAAAACAAGAACCACATTAGGTTCAATGTATTTGAAATAACTATAGTTAAAATATTTAAAGTGAATTTGAAATGACTATATATCTAAGGAATCATTTGAAATTCAATTTTTTTTTCTTTTCATTCTTGTGCAAATTTTGGCATACATTGAAATCTCTTCATCCAAATGCAGCCTTATAGATATGCTATAAGAGTGTGTACATGGAAATATGAATGGTATAAATAGTAGGAACTCATTTGGAAGTGATTTTTGATATACCATAATCATGTATGGGAAGAAGTATCTCCCATATGCTTTTCCAGAAAATCACTTTTAGGATTTTAACTGATTATGGGTGTGATCCTCCATAAAATCACTTAAAGTGATTATTTGGAGAAATAGTTCTCCATAAAAGTGATTATTGGCCTCTCCATAATCACTCCTAAACGAATTCTAAGTTGAATTGTAAGGTAGGTAAGAGTACATAATGGATTAAAAGTCTACACAAAGAACCAATAGTGCATGATGACTGTATGTATTATATTTATTATTACTTATGTTGTTGTTATAGTGGAATAGTATGTTATTGAAACATACATTTCATGACTACTGTAGACTAAGATAAAGGTGTTGAAAATTTAACAAAATATAGATATAAAAAAAAAAAATATCATATTCACCCCATACAAAATATTGATCCTAATTACACGGATAAGTAAGGAAAATGCTAGGTTTATCACATTTTTCATACCACATTCATACCATCTCTTGTATTGGTGTGGGTTCCACCTCTATTAGAAAGATAGTATGAAAAATGTGGTAAGCCTAGCATTACCCGATAAGTAAATATAATATAACAACTATTTTAAAGAAATATAAATGTCGCAACTTTGATGCGTTTATTTATACTTTGATAGGGACATATCGCACGATTACAACAACAATCATTTGAAAAAAGAAAAAAAAAACATATAAATCATTTGAAGTGCTGATTGATTTTAAACTCCCTAAACCATTCTCAAATATCTTTAATCATCTAACTACTACTTTGGCGACTTACTGGCTATTTAACGAAGCAATTGAAATAAAAAAAATTTAAAAGTATAAATAAAAGGATCAAAATGAAATCCACAACCCGTCGCCATCAAAGTGAGACTAGTAAGTTTTAGGGTTTGAACTGGTCCGGACTCACATGGAGTGGAAAACAGGCGCGCCCACTCCCTAAGAATTATTGGGTCTCTGTTTTGTCCCCTTGTATTGTTTAGTCTTCAAACACGTACATATTTTAAGGATTCATCCAAAAATTTAGAATAATGACTTAAAAAGACATCCCAGTTTTCCAACGTAATATATTTAGTGTTATAGATAATGGAGCAGTTGAGAGGCTCCCTATTTTTCTCTGTGTCTTACACATATGTCGTCTGCTTCGTTTGCTTTGTGCTTAAATTCCCAGAAGAAGATGGTTTGCTTTGTGTAATTAATTACAAGCGCTAATAAGACAACATTAAGACGGTTGGGATTTGGATAATACTAAACTTTTTGTTAGGTGATATGTGATAAATTTTTGTATATTCTAGATATACCGGCTGGTTGGTGTATATCCAATTCAATATAAATAAAATATAGAGAAATATTTTATTTTTATATTCTATGCATATTGAAGATGAAGAATATTTTCACATATCGCATATTTATTGTATAATGGATCTAAATGGCGTATTCGAAATATATAAAAATTAGCATGTCAAAATTGAATGTATTTAATGGATCTACCAAAGTCCAACTGCAGACAATTGAATTTTGATTTGCCCCCTCCTGTAGAATCATAGGCCACATGGGAAGTTTCCCAAAATTTAAGGTACTCTTTGAAAAAATAAAAACAAAATTAATATTCTGCCTAATATCATGAATTTTTTGGGGACTCGGAAGTCACATGCAATTATTTTAATTTTTCTTCCCCAACAGCTCACATGCCTGATTGAGAATCTGACTGACTGAGTAGCGAATCAATTCATATTAAAAAAAAAAATTATTTTATTTTTTGGTCTCCATAAATTAAAGAAAATTATGTTAAGGGTAGAGCCCTACAGTGTAACATGATTGGTACATTTTTTTTCAGGGGAAAAAGTCACATGCCTATACTCGAAATATAGAAAGGTTGCCTTCATCCTTTTACTGGGGTGATTGCAGGTTGTGTTGCTTTGATGAGTAATTTTGATTATGTCGAGCTTTCTCATGTTTATAGGGAAAAGAATGCTGCTGCAGATTGTTTGGCAAATTGGAGTCTGAATATGGATCTGGGAGTCTGCTTTTTTGATGATGCTCCAGTTTGGATTAGCCCTGTTCTTATTGATGACTTGTTGGGGGCTGTGAAGCCTCGGAAGATTAGTGTTGGTTTTGCTTTTGGGGTTTTCCCCCCTTCTTCATCAAAAAAAATATATATATAGAAAGGTTGCCATTGGTTGAACCGTTTAGCATGACTAGTCAATGATAACGGAGAAAGTGCCATGTCATCACATCAGCATACCTAATTAATTGTTCTTGTTACAAAGTTATGAATCTGTTAGCTTGCATGTAGCTCATGTAGCTAACTAGTGAGTTAGTTTGCTGGCTAAACTTGTGTTATGAAGCATGATATACGATGGAATGTACTGTATAATTCTCGACTGATTCAGTCAATAAAAACAGATCAATTCAAAAAAAAAAGTTAAAATGCATCACTTGGCTTTAAAAAGTCCATACCTAATTAGCTCAAGTAAAAGTACGTACGTACATCGTCAATAAAAATGACTAAAAGAAAGAATAAAATAAAAATGACTTGCATTAGCGTAAACACACACAAAATAAAACCATTGTCAAATCCTATCGTAAATTCTCCAACCCAAACTTTCTTATTTTCTTATGGGGATGTTTATGGCCAACCCCAAACTATGTGCTTGTACCTTGGTGCACAAATGGGAAAACTATGTACCACATTAAGACCCATTATAATATAGTCTCCGGGCGTCGTACATCAGAAACTAGCACTGTATATTTGAGAAGACACTTTACAATTGAAGTCATGCATGCATGACAAGAAGTTTCCATTTTCATTTTAAATCTATTAGGTTGTTTGAAAATAGATTTAACTAGATTTGTAACTCAAGTGGTTAAGAGTATTTACTCTTACACCTGATGTCCGAAATTCGATTCCTCCATCCTTGAATATCACTTGTATAAAAAGAGAGTACACAGTGCAGAAGACGGACCATTAGTGCAATTTTGGGGCCTAAATCATAATGCCACAGTTGAATTTTTTATATTTTATAATAAAAGTGGTGAGAATTCCATGGCCTGTATCTTATATTATTGAATAAAAATAATATATATTAAAATATAGTGATTGAACTTATCATTTGTAATTTGTCAAAATATTGCCTAATAAAACATGTACGTATTTTATTCTTATTTTTCCCGTTCCATGTTTTACTAATTATGAAAGAATGTGAGAGGCTAAGATTATTTCTTACTTGTTGTAACAAAAATGCAAGATGGTGATTTTGCAATCTCTTTTCCAACTAGAACAACAATCAGGGGCGAACCCAATTAATGCCAACTATGGGCAGCTGCCCACACTTACCCAAAAACTTCAGCCATATAATCCCATTTAAATTCATTATTTTTAGGTCCTTCTCAAGTAAAGCCCCCACATAGCCCATTGAATTTTTTTAAGCCCCCAGATGAACGAAAGTCTGGATCCGCCACTGACAACAATTTCAAATAAAGATTTATGGGTATAGTAGTAAGCGAGGTGGTAGTACTCTTCATGTAAAGTGTTGTTCGAAATGTGAAGAAATTACAAAGGACACTCCAACTCAGCATGCAATTCTCTATAACAAATAATGTATGCAATAAAAGAATTTAGTAGCACTCGAGAGAACAAGGTAGACCAAAGGCAAACATTCCCACAAAAAAAGAAGAAGAAAAAATTGAACTCTCAATTGATTTACTATGAAATTTCTCTCTCTTCAATATCTACTTTGGAGATGTCAAAATTAGCAAATTAATATCTATAGGGCTCGTTTGGTACATAGGATTGGCTTGGACTGGCTTGGACTAAATTTAGTACCATGTTTGTTTTATCTAATCCTAGTCTTAGATGAGATTGCTAATACCGGGCCCACCAAAAACACCTCCTTAGGAGGGGACTATTAATCCGATGTGGAAATAGAGGATTAGCTAGTCCCAATGCTCACTAATGTATAAAATGCATATATTATATTGTAAAATTAATAA